GGGAGAGGGAGAGAAAGATGAAGAGGGAGATGGAGAGAAAAATGGAGAGGGAGAGGGAGAGGGAGAGGGAGAGGGAGAGGGAGAGGAAGAGGAAGAGGAAGAGGAAGAGGAAGAGGAGAGAGAGAGTGAGAGGGGAAAGGGAGGGGGAAGGAAGAGGAAGAGGAAGAAGGAGAAGGAGAAGGAGAAGGAGAGGAAGAGAAAGAGGAAGAGGAAGAGGAAGAGGAAGAGGAAAAGGGAGAGTGAGAGGGAGAGGGAGAAGAAGATGAAGAGGAAGAAGAAAAGGGACAGGGAGAGGGCGAGCCCAGATTCCCCCAGAAGGTCTTCACAGCTGAAAACTTACGGTGGATATTTTCACTGTTAAAAGAAAGCCCACACACACACAAACACACACACAAACACACACTCACACACACTCACACACACAGCAGCAGCAGCTGTGAAATAATTCAGCCTTCAGAAGACTTCATGTTTGTGTGTAGGAGAGAGTCTATTTATAGAGCAGATATAAATAGATCTGGTCGTTCACCGCCTGCATTCAGGTCTGAAATCTGCCCCGCGGCTCTGATTCTACATCATCTCCTGGTCTTCACGCAACTGTGGGAAGGTGTGAAAGGTGAGGAGTTCTACGGGGGAGCGTGTGAACAATGAGCAGCAGTTTGTCTCCGTGACAGTGATGAGAACTTTTCATCTGTCCACAGTTGATGCTCCATCGCCGACCAGTGATGCCGCGGCTACGTCCGCTGCTAACCCACTGAACACGGGGAGCTAAAAGGTTGGCTCCATCAGCCGGCTTTAGAAAGTGGACACAAAAGAGCACGGGAGGGGAAAGCGGTGAGTTGTGGTGGAGGAGAACAGGTGAAAAAGGGAGCAACTTTGTATCCGTGGAAACTGTTGCTAAGTAGCAAACTAAGGCATCCCTGGACTCAGGGGGACAATAAGCTGATTGAGTCAAAATGAAAGGAGGAAAAAAAAAAATCAAAAAAAAAATCCCAAGACCAAAAATATGAGAATGAATGACAGAAAGTCAGAGGAGGATTTGAACGGAGGAGAAACAGGAAACCAGTCGAAAGTCTTTGTTTAATTACTAACAACTAATCTAAATTATTGAACTATTGAAGTAGAAACTACACATTTCCAACAGAGCAGCAACTCAGGGTTGGTGTTTTAGTGTTTTTAAATCTGTGTATTCACAGGCTAGCTGTGGTTCAATCATGACTATTCATGATTAATCATGATTAATCGTGATTAATAATAACTAATCCAAATATTCTTTTATTATAATGCTACAAAGGACAATTTGTTGATGATAAAGAAAAACACATGTTATTAAATATCCATAATATTAATCTTTAGTGATTCTGGCTAAAATATTAAAACTACAAAACAAATTTGGATCAGATGTTTGGTCATTTGTTGTTTACAATTCTGGTATTTCCTTAAACGCTTCAGCTCTGCACAACAGTCAACCACCCGTTGACTGAGCAGGTTCACCAGAAGTCAAAGGTCAGGTGTTGCTAAAGGTTTAAATGTTTTGCACACAGAAGGTCAGAGAGTCAACGACAAACTATGAATTTGTCAGTGAGATTTCTAAAAGAAAAATGTTTTTCTCATTTTAGCTTTGGGATAAAGATCAACGTGAAATGTTTTTTTTTGTTTCTAGGATGAAGAAACATCCAGAAATTGGATTTGTTTTTTTTACTTTTTTTTTTTTTTTTTTTTAAATCATTGGACTTTTGGAATATGTACAACAATTCTACATTATCTGTTTCTAGAACCTTGACTTGGGAACAAATTTAAAAAAAAGAATCAGTGAAAAAAATGTAACCAATGAAAAAAAAAAAGAAAACAAAACAGGAAGACGAGGTGGAGGAGGAGGAGGAAGAGGAGGAGGAGAAGGTGGAGGAAGAGGAGGAGGAGGAGGAGGAGGAGGAGGAGGAGGAGGAGAAGGTGGAGGAAGAGGAGGAGGAGGAAGGGGAAGAGGAGGAGGAGATGGAGGAGGAAAAGGAAGAAGAGGAGGAGGAGGTGGAGGAGGAGAGGGAAGAGGAGGAGGAGGAAGAGGAGTGGGAGGAAGGGGAGCAGGAGGTGGAGTAGGAGGAGGAGGAAGAGGAGGAGATGCAATGAATTTGATGGAATGTTGTAAAAAGATTTTCACAGAGTTTATAAAAAGTAACACGGAGACATTTAGTCACGGGGGAACTCCCAGATCCCTGCAGCATCACACTGTTGAAGTCATAAGTGGACAGTGA